GGAAGGTTGGGTTGGTCTAGAGGAGGTCTGAGGAAGGTTGGGTTAGGTCGGGTTGGTCTACAGAAGCTGGAGCTGGGTTGGGGCGATGAAGACCAGCTCTTACCGAGTTGGAGCACCCCGAGATGGCTCCGGGTGACGTGGAGCCAACGGTCCCACCTTCTCCTCGCCCCCAGGCCAAGAACGCGCTGGCCCACGCCCTCCAGTCGGCCCGGCACGACTGCGACCTGCTGCGGGAGCAGTACGAGGAGGAGACGGAGGCCAAGGCCGAGCTCCAGCGGTCGCTCTCCAAGGCCAACTCCGAGGTGGCGCAGTGGAGGACCAAGTACGAGACGGACGCCATCCAGCGCACCGAGGAGCTGGAGGAGGCCAAGTGAGTCGTCTCCCCACGGGTGCTGAGGCTCTCCCACGGGCGGTGGGACCTGCTTGGTCTTGCCGGTCCCCGCCTCCCCTCTTCCCTCAAGCAGCCACCACCCGGGACGTTGGGCTTCTTCACGCTTGGTAGGTCTAGAGCCCAATCTGGGGGACCTAGAACCTGCGTAGAGTGACCTAGACCATCCGTGACCCTCACGAGTCCCACCGCTGTCTGGCTTTCAAACATCTTCATTTTGGGAGCGACCGACCGATGGGGTCTCCGGGGGCCGATGGGTCACGCGCAGGTTTCTCCCACGCCTCTGGCAGGAAGAAGCTGGCCCAGCGGCTGCAGGAGGCCGAGGAGGCGGTGGAGGCGGTCAACGCCAAGTGCTCCTCCCTGGAGAAGACCAAGCACCGGCTGCAGAACGAGATCGAGGACCTGATGGCGGACCTGGAGCGGTCGAACGCGGCGGCCGCCGCCCTGGACAAGAAGCAGAGGAACTTCGACAAGGTTTTGGGGGGAGGGACACCAAGAAAGGGTGGGAGGAGAAGGGCGGGAAGGGGGTGGAGAGGTGTGGGGCCCACCAACCGTACCCACCAAAGACGGGCAGGAGAAGAAGCCCGGAAGAAAGGTGGACAACTGTCAAAGGCCATGGTTCAGCAGAGCTTCAAGTCCCACCGGGAGAGTGC